CTGCCGGGTGCGCGCCCTTTTGACCTCCGGCTGCGGCCAGTGACTGCACCGCCCCCCCCACTAGCTTTGCTTTCTGCCCCCTTCCTCCAGCCCCCCTCCTCCTATCCAGCCCCCCTGGACCCCGATCCTTGCAGGAGGAATAACGGTAGTTCGAATTAGGAGCTTTAATTCGAACTACCTAGTCCGTGCTGCCGATAGCCGCGGGCAGGTAGTTCGAACTACGAGGCATTTAAAAATGGCGGCACCCGGGAACATGCAAATAAAGCCCAGGATATTTAAATCCTGGGCTTCATTTGCAAGTTTGAATACCTACATTAGCCACCCTCATTCGAACTAGGGTGGGAGTGTAGACATACCCTTATGTAGTGCATGTTTCTTCATCTGGAAAAAGGCTTAAAAGGAAGTCAAAATAAAAGCCTGAGTTCCTTCACTTAAGGCAGAGGTGGGGAACCTCATGCCCAGGGGGCGGATGTGGCCCCTGAGGCTTAGGGATCCCCACACTTGGGAGGCTGCACTGGCACTCCAGCTCCCCTGACACTCACCCACGGGGCTGGATCATACAAAATCTACTAGCCTGGGACCCCTAGACTCTGGTGTGTGAGGGGAATGTGAGGAGTGTCTGTTTCCTTCTCAGTCATAGGCTTCTCACTTTGCTTCTCACTTGTGTGAGGACCCCAACTGATTTTTTTATGGGTCGGCAGCCCCTGACCCAAAAAAGGTTCCCCATCCCTGACTTAAGGCCTGCTTCAAAACTTAGTGAAGTCAGTAATTTTAGAGACCTGTGTATCAGGCCTTTAAACAAATCAAAGAAGAAATGAAATAGGCTAACAAAAATAGATGCAAAATATTCTCAAAAACCATGTAACAGGTTGTATCCATTTTAAATTTTGAAAATATAGAACAAGGAGAAGATGATCAAATTATGAAATTACTAAAATTGTCCCCACCACTGCAGGGGAATATAGATATTTTTGTTAAAATCTCAGATCCAACAATAGAGCAACATTTTTTAAAGAGCCAGAAGATTAGAACAAAAGATTAAAATATCCACCCTATGGACTGCTTTAACAACACACACATAGATGAGGATGATCTTCTTTGCTTTGTCATTGCTTAGAGTTCATTTAAGTACATTGTTATGTCTTTAATCATAATTGAAACTATGCTGGCAGTAATATTAGTCTACCATTATCAGGTCATTTTTGGGAAGTAGGATTTCTATTTTTTTTTAAATAATGTCATCTTGCTTTCGGTAGATTCCTTTTCATTTCCACCTCAGAAATTCAACTTTAAATAAGACTTGAAATATTCAATGTCAGACCATTGACATTGCTTTTGTTGTGTTTTTAACAGAGAAAAACATTAAACAAGAAATACCATCTCCAGCAAAGCTAAAGGTAGACTTTGGAGTAAATGTTACAGTTACCCAAACTGCTAATGAAGATTTAAGAAACATAAGGCAGTTGGAAATGTTGTTTAGAGCGCATACTTTAATGGCTATAATTTCTGGCCATAGTTCACCTTTTCATCAGCAAAACTGTTTGATGGCTTATGCTTACATCATTCGTATCTGGCAGGTGAGGTCACATATACCAATCACATTTAATATATCTAATATATAAATGTATGAATATATAGTAAGACAGTATTTTGTTATTGTAACTGTTTTACTATAATTTATCCAATTTTACAGTATTATGAAGATATAGTTTTACAATTTCTAAGCTTTAAACTAAAATATTTTCACAAGAAACAAGAGAGGACCTCTGTGTAGTTCAAGTTCTTCCAACAACTATATGAGAGAGAGGCAGTGCTCAGTTAAAACCATTATTTTCTATTGTTATATATATTCTTTGGAGTTTAGAGATCCACTTTTTCCCAATGGTTTCTAAACTTTACCGTTTAAATTGTTAAGGTAAAATAAGAATTACAATTGGTGATTTACAGTATTCACAATACTATTGCTGTAGAACAGTAATTACAGATAGGTAGTGGCTTAGATCAGTGTTGCTGACAGTGTTCCACAAAATCGCTTTCAGAAACACATTAACTGGTCGCCCCAGTTTGTTTGTTTACTGGCGCCACGGCCACGGAGCCTGACGGCTCCCTTTGGCTCCATTTCATCCTTTGCAGCCAAGGTGAGATGTGGGAAGCGGATGCTGCTTCCCGCAGCTCCCCTTGGCTGCAAAAGATGAAACGGAGCCAAAGGGGGCCGTGAGGCTCCGTGGCCGTGGCGCCAGTAAATAAACAAACTGGGGCGACCAGTTAATGTGTTTCTGAAAGCGATTTCACGGAACTCTTTCAGAAACACTGGCTTATATTGTTTCAAGGCGTATGTCTTTTAACTTAAAGGAATTGTTTGACTTAACTCAATTCATATGGTTTATTTAACTATCAATTAAATTTTGTAATGAAACCATAACACTAACATTCACTGAGAATTGTTAATTCTTGAAATTAATCACATCCGGCTGTTCTGCAGCATTTCAGAGCAAATTAAATGAACCTCATTAAATGTTGTGTTTTCTCATTGATGTGATTGCCTAATTTCTAGGGACATTTAGAGCAAACATAAGGACTATTAGTGCATGTTAATTTTGTTAAAATGTATTTAAATCTTTGAAATGTACTTTGATCTCAGTATATGCCATATGCCACCGTAAGTGCCACCTGAGTAGTGTAAGAGATCTGCAAAGTGAAGCTGGTATCCAAATCATTATGTTCCAGGTTATAATATTGTTTTTCCGGTGATTACAAATGCTGGTAATTGCTCAGAAAAAGAACTGCCTGAGACAAATTAAAGAGTCCATTTGTGGCTTGTGAACTTCATTCTGACTATTTTTGTTATAGATTGGCATTATTGTGAGCTTCAAACTTTCTATATAAGGCATATTATGATTAAAAGTAAGTAGTTTATAAGGAGATGCAGGAAAGCTTGTTAGCATGTGTGATGTGAGGCCTGTTTGGGATTAAAAATAGAGCAGATTTGATTGAAGATGAGTGATAAGCGCATGTTGAAGTATTTTGAAGTCTTTTGAACTGTTTTGGGATGCTTATTCTCATTTCCAGGTGAAACTGTAGAATCTTAAGGCTCTTTAGTCACTATCTTAAGACTCTTTAATATCTATCTGTTAGGCAATGGAGTAATTTCTGAAAGCTTAAATAAAACCATGAAACAGATGCCTTTAAAAAAACACATGGTAAAGACCCAGTGTGAGATCTTGATAGGAACGTATAGCCAGTGTGCTCATTTTAGTCCACATATTCATATGGGATATTGATCACCTCTAACCGAAATTATTGCTCAAACATCCTACAAGTTGAACCTCCCTGGTCTGGCACCCTTAGGACCTGACTGATCCCAGATCAGGGAATTTGCCAGACCAGGGGAGGTAAGTGGACTAAGAGCTCCACTTTTTCCATGGCCACACTGGGCTCTGCTGCCCCATGGCAGGGCCTCTGCTGCCATCTGGGGGCCTGCTTTTGCCCCAAGGTTCTGCTGCCACAGGGGGTGACGGTATGCTTTGCGCTCCCCCAACAGCTCCCAGATCTCCATGTTCTGCCTGGCAGTGCCGCTGCTCCTCTTGACTCCCTTGTCTGGCAATACTTGACATCTTGATGATATCAGACCAGAGGTGTTGCTGGATCATGGGTGTTGCCAGAATAGGGAAGTCCAGACTATGGAGTTTCAACCTGTACCAAATTACTATCCTAATTATACTTCATACAAGAGTTAATGTAGTATATCATATGCTACACTACACTTTTGCAATAGGGTAGACCTGGAGAAACATATTATACCTGTCTTTCACATGAACACAGGTTCCCAGTTCATGGTGGTTGTAAAGTCCTAAATTATCTAGATATTTATGTCAAAGACTGTCACTTTCCATACCCCAACTGAATAACTGTGTTCAACAATAATACTTGAGCTGTTTAAGTTGCTATGGTGACTAATGCCTCCATAAACACTTATAGAAATATAATGTGAAGATTCTAGGAGCCCTTGAAATTTTCTGTCTCCGGGAGAGTGGGCTTAAATCACCATAATGGAGTGTGATTCTGTTTTGAGTAGCTAAGGACAGTACTTTAAAATAAAATAATTGTAATTCTTTTTTGTCTAGGTTTCATTGTCTGCAGCAGGATCTATTATAAAAACATTACCAAAATCCTCACCATCTACTGCTTCCCAGAATGCACAGTCAGCCACACCTAAGAAAGATAAAGGCAAAAAGGATGCAAAACAAGTAAAGCACTCCTCTTTATGGAAAATTTTTATATAGCTTTACTTCACTAAATGATGTTTCTGAGATTAGTTTTTCAAGTGTAACATTATAGAAATTGGTATTACAGTGCCCCTGTCTGAGGGTCATTCATGTCTGTGAGAGAGAACTTCTGAGTCCATGTACTAGATATGCAAAGTTAAGAATGTGGGATCTGCAGAAAATTTCAGTTTACTGATAATTTTTCTTCTCTTTTTATCCTCTTATTTACATTTCTTTGGGCAAAATCCACCACGTGCTGCTTTCCAAAATCCACAGTCAAGCACCCATAAAAAAGACCAAGCCCAAAAGGAGGCCAAACTGGTATCTATCTTTTTCTCTCTTTGAAAGTTATGTTTAAGTAAATTTGTACTGCCTATAGAAAAATACATTTCTCTTTTAGGAGAAGCCTAAACGAAAAGGACCAGTTGAAGCATTACCAGTGAGTGTGGAGGAATGGGCTACCTATGACTGTCCTGATGAAGTTAGAGATGCTTTTAAACAAGAAACAAGCTGTTATGTTATTAACCGGGATAATATTCTGGTACCTGTAAGTAAACTTTGAAAATCATTGTTCTACTTTAGGAAAATAAACACTGAGACCAGTCCCAGACATTAGTTTTTGTATGTATATAGTCAGTGCTCTTTGCAGACAGTTTTTAAAAAGATTTTTCTCTTTCTCTTGTCTCCTTTTATATTATGAAAATACAATTTCCAATTCCATAATTACCATATTCTGAAAAGGCTCAAAAGGGCTAACACAATTCTTTTTACTTTGTTGGTGTTCTAACATTATGTTAAACTTTACATGGTGTTAGATTTTGTGCCATTTGATTTTTTTGTTTAGTTCTGTGTTTCTTTTAATCAAATATTAAGTAAACGATCTGTAGTTAAAATTCCTTCATGTCCTTTGGACAAGTGGGTAAGGTCCTACTTCCTATGGACTCCACCAGCCCTTGGGGTCCTGTTGCCTGCTAGGCTTGTCAGTTGGGCAAGGTGAGTGAGGTCCCACACCTCTGGGCTCCACCAGGCCTCGGGTCCCACTGGCCCACCAGCCCTAGGATCCCACCGCCAGACCAGGGCTCTGTAGCTGCTTCCATTTGTGGTGCCAGCTTGGGGTGGTGAGGGTTGCCAACCTCCTAGATTGGACAGATCAGACACCATTTGTAGCAATAGTCTGATCCATCCATTCCAAAAGAGTTGGCAACTCATCTCAACAGCTCCAGAAGCAGGGGGGATGGGATGACAGGGAGTGCAGCTCTGCACATCCAGCCCAAAAATGGTTTCAGCACCACTGGTAAGATGTCCTGGGAATCTTGTATTATCACGTATTATTTTCCCATTTTTTCTCCAAAACCACATCAGACTTGTCAAGAAAGCATGTTCCATTCCATGAATCATGGCAACAACTTGCAGAGTCAGAAAGGGTCACATGCCCCTCCTCAAACACTGGGGTTGGGGGCAAAGGGCCAGTAGCTAGAGACAAAAAGGAAGAGACCAGGCCAAACCCTCTCCCCTTCCAGCTGCTTCACTTTCCTGATCTCAGCAGCCTCCAGCTTTATTGTCTGTCTTGGACTCCAGGCAGGAAGCATATCAGAGGCTGCCTGGGAGAGTTCACTAAGGGATCCTCAGAGGGAGTAGAAATGGTGGCACAGCAGGAAGACAGAGCATGTTCCCCCCTCCCCCTCCATGCCAGGTATTGTGGGATAGGGAAAGGACGGGGAGAGCACAGGGGTCCCAAAGTGGAGAGCGGGGCAGAAATGAGTCATATGTTGGGTCATGTGGAGGTTAGATTCCCCCGTTAGCTGGTGCCCCCCTTTATGTTCCTCTCCACTACTCACCTCTGCCCTAGATGGTAGAAGAGCTTTAGCTTTTTACTTAGATAGGACCATTATCTTTAGAAGATCTCTTTGACCATTTGTCTCCATTGTGGACAGAAATAAGAGCTTGGTTATTTTAAAATCGAGGTTATTAAAGTGGATACCTGGATGTATTAAGATCTGTTATGGCCAAGCTCAGCTTCAGTCCCCTACAAGAATGATAGCACATTCCACTAGAGAACTTTCTGCTTTTATAGCCTGACATAAGTATGTATTGATTGCTGACAACTCTAGAGCAGCAACTTGGTCCTCTTGCTTATCTTTTCTAGTCATTGGTGCCTGCTGTCAGCACTGCAGTTCTCTCCTTTGGACTCTGCTCTGAACCTTGCACTTCCTTTTGGGGGTATTGCTTGGGAATCACCTGCAGTGGTGCATTCACAGGGAGATTTCTTAAAGAAGCAGAAGTAACTAGTGTTCCCTCTCATTTTTCCCACCCCTGAGCAGAATAACTGTTTTATGTCCACCTGTGTGGAGGTGATGTGCAATGCATCACCTTTATATTGGTGCAAAGCGCAAAATTCATGTGGCATGGGTGTGGTCAAAGGATTCTGAGTATCGTGGGGATCAGGCCTGAGATAAAAGTTGGAGTGCAGAAATGTGAGGGCCCCATCAGAGGGTGTGAGCTCTGGACAGGTTTAGGGATGAGGCATTCAGGGTGCAGGAGGGGATGCCAGGCTGGAGGCAAAGGACTTGGAATACATGAGGGAGGTGTGGATTGAGGCAGGGATATAGGGTGCAGGATGGGGTGAGAGCTCTGGGATGGACCCAGAAATGAGGGGTTTGAGATGCAAGGTTTGGAAAGGGGCTCAGGCCTGGAGGTTTCAGTCCAGGAGAAAGTACAGGCTATGGGCTGGGGGTTAGGGTGCAGGAGGGGGTACATACTCTAGACTGGGAATGTGGACTTTGGAGTGGGACTAGGAATAAGGAGTTTGGGAAGCAAGAGGGGCTCAGACATGGGGATTTTGGTGCAGGAGAGAGTGCAGGCTCTGGACAGAGGGTGTGGACTATGCGGTGGGGTTAGGGATGAAGAGATTGGGGTGCAAGAGATGGCTCTGAGATGGGGAGCTCTGTGTGGGGTACAGAGATGGGTCTCAGGCTCATCAGCACTAAAGCAGTCTGCCTGTTTCCTGCCTGCCCTTGGGCATCATGCTGCACCCCAGAAGCAGCCAACATGTCTGGTTCCGGGGGTGGAGGGACATGAGGCTCTGCAGCGCACGATGTGTGCTGATCTCAACTGCAGGGTGAAGGCAATGCACAGAGTCCTGTGGCCCCCCAACTAAGACCTAGACCTACTATGCTAGCCACTTCCCTACCGTCCCCAATACAGAACTGCCCCTGCTGCAGCAGCTCCCTGCTGTGGCCACTGGAAAGGGACACCTTCCCTCTGGCCATGGTAGCTTCAGGTTTTAGGAAGAGGTAACCCTGAGCCCCTGAAAGGGCTTAATGGGAAGCTTTGTGGCCACACAGCTTACAGGGAACTTAGAATATTATTCATCTTGTGCAGTAACTAAAATTCTTCAAGATGCATGTCCCTTTGAGCACTTCGCTTCCTTCCCTCCCCACTGCTGTTATGAGACTTTGCTATAGAGGAGGAACTGAGAATAGCCCACCTACACAACCCCTTGTAGCCTCAGTGTGGGTCACAATGATGTATCGGGTGCTTGCATGAGTCAAATAGGCACTGGGCTTACCTGAAGTGGAGTTCTCACAGTGATACAGTGAAGAACTGTAGTTACTGCAGAGCAGAAGTAATCTCTCCATCATACTAGTGGTAACCAGTGACCTACTCCCTGCATCTTTTAGCTCTGGTTCATTACAGGTCACAACTTAAAAAAATCATCTTCAGTACCAGGAGGAAGCATAAGTTTGCTTTCTTGTGCAACTCATCACCACATAACTCTCATTCCTCAGTCCTTCTTTGCCCACAGATGGGTTTAAAGTTTCATTCAGGTACTGCTTCCTATGGATCTTTCTGACATCGGCTTTTTGTGGAGAAAGAAAGGCAAGTTAGTGATTGTCTGCTAAGTTCTGACTATTTTCTTTAATTTTCCTTTTGTCTTTTAAAGCACTAACCAGAGAGCTGCACAGGGAATGTATGGAGGATAATATTTATGGAAGGATTTTTTGTTTTAGCTTCTCCAGTTGAAGAAAAAACTAATAATTCTTTGAGAGATGTCTTCGTGGGTGCGCCACCACACAGCCTCAGAGCAGAGATTTTGGAACACTGTCCCTGGGGCCATGCACATGCACACCAGCAGTCACGCGCTGTTAGGCTGCAGGCATTGCGCCTGTGTGAGCCCCCCCACCACTCCTCAGTTCCTTCTCTACTGCCTCCAACTACAGACAGACTCAGCAATGCTCTCTAGCTTCTTCACGTCTAGATGACTATTCTTCTTAAAACCAGTAAAATTAATCATAGTAGTTAATCAGTTAGTGAGATTAAATACTTAATTAGTCAATTACTTCGTTAGTTTTAAAAAATCTAGATTAGTATAAAGGGTTTTTTTTCTTTTTCTCCCAGTTAATCCCTTCCTGCAGTCTCTGACTGCTTCTACAGGTATGCCTGGCTCACCGTGGTTTAAGCACTGCACTTCATGTATAGAGCCTCTCCTGCTATCGGATGGTCTCACAATGTGTCCACTGCCTAGGAGAGCAGCAAAATATTCAGAAATGCCCTCATTGTGCAAAGCTAAAATCGTGGGCACAGAAAGACAGAGACTTCCAGCTTCAGTTATTTTTACTGGAAAACTCACTTAGACCAACCTCTGGTCTGGGTCAACACCCCAAGGAACTTAAGCAGCCGGGATCCATAAAGCCTGCAGGAAAAAAAGAAGCGAGCCTCCTCAGCACTTCAAGGGGCTACGGCACCGAAGCAGCCGTCTCCCTCACAGTGGTGCTAAGAGAAGTGCCGGCACCATGCCGCAGCACTTATGATGCTGTTGGTGTCTTTGGAGCCCCCAATGGAGACGAACAGTGCACATGTGCTAAATCGCACTCTGAAGTGACAGGCTTCAAGTTGCCTGCCTCATTAGCTGCAGCACCATCCGGCAATGATACAATCTTGCCAACGCAGCATGAGAGTGCAGCACCGATCACCTTAACAGGCGCTTCAGCTGCCACCACAGAGGCGCTTGATGTGGCAAAACTGCCCTCGGCACGATTCAGTGCCTCAGATAGCCTCTGTGCCTCCCACTATGGCACCAACGGCACCTGTTGGGCATTACACTCAACACAGAGACTTATTAGTCAGTAATACCATTATAAACACCATTGCCAATTAATCCAGCAATAATGCAACCGGAAAAGATGGTATGGCAAACTCCGGCATCAATTTCTTTAATTTTGGCGAAGACAACCACTAAAAAATACTGTGTCCCACCCAAGGATTCTGAATTTTTTTCTCACCCAGCAACAAATTCTCTCATAGTGGAAGCAGCAACAATACCGGTCTACCCCATTGCACCATGATAGCAAAAGGCTCTATGCATTCTGGTGTGAGATATATACGCCGCCTTCTTTACAATTTTGCATTTCGAATTACACAGTTTTATTGAGCAAATATGATCACAGAAATCACACGATTGCAAAATGAACATTACAGGCCACCTTAGACGCTGCTGACACAACTGTACAATCTATAGCACGGTGGTAGTAATGAAGAGGGCATCAT